TCCACTGAAGCCAGTGGCACTACACCCATGCAAACCTGGAGTAATGCAGCGCTGAGTAAGGAATGAGTTTCCCCAGAATGACACTCCAGAGTCCAGTCACATTTCCTCTGCTGTGCCACAACTCAGCCGGACATGGAGCAATGACAATTAAATGCCCTGATTAGAACATTTCACCATTTCCTTTTCAATGGCGAGGAGCATGGGATGAGAACCTGAAGAGCGCAGAATGGCTGTTCCATTGTCACGTATGTTAGACTGTGTGAGCACATCCGAGATGCTGCATGGGGGTATGAAGCAGAAGTCATTGCTAGAAATGCAATTTTATTCTAAAGCTTTAATGCCCACAAGGAAGGAGAAAAAGAAGTTTGTGGAAACCAGTCTGGGTTTGTGTCCTTCTCACCTGCGTACGAGGAAAAGTCACTACAAGGCCATGCACATTCTCTCCTCGAAGCTACAGTTATTTTAAATCATTGTTCTGATTTTTAATATAATTAAAATGAATCAACCCAAAGCCCAGCGGAGAAAGGCCCAGCGGAGAAAAGCTCAGAAAATCTGCAGGGAGGGAGAGGAGAAGGAAAGTGGCCCCGTTTCCTAGGTAACCCTGATACTTCCCCCAGCAAGGTGGGAGGTTTGGCCATGACACACTTTGACCCTTTTCCCTCCCTTCGTGGAGCAGGGGTTGGCCTCACTGCAGACAGGAGGGTGGGGAAGGGGTGACTAACAGTAGGACGCTGGTTTGATGAGGATGGCGGAGGCTTGGCAGTTCCCACTACAGAAACTACCCCAAGTGATGCTCCCTTTGACGTTCAGTCGAACAGAATAACAAGCCGAGTACCACCAGCCCCCACCAGAGCTAGACGCACAGTTCCCACTGTTAGTGTCCTGATCCAGGTCTTTAGTGGAGAACTTCATGTTGTCATGCACGGTGCTAGGATTGTTTGAAGTCATGGCGTCCCCTGCAGTCCCAGTGTAAGAGCCCAGCCTCAGCCTGTAGCCATTGGACTCGTCTTCCAGACCGAAGAGGTTGTAGTCTGCGTATTTCATGGTGCCGGATGAATCGTGGATGACAAACCTGACCTGGTAGACCTTCTGCTTGGCGATCCGATAGATGTACTCCGTCCCCAGCCAGTAGTCATCGTGCACGTTGCCAAAGCCGTACTTGTAGGTGCTCCAGGACTCAGCCCAGGTGATCTGTGTGTTGTGCCGGTTCCGCTGGAGGACCGTCCAGCCCCCGGATGTTTCGTTCATGTCGCAGTACACCACGAGCTGGTGCAGTCCTGTGGGCTGGATGAGGTAGATGCCGCTGGGGCTGCCTGAGGGGATCTCACTGCAGTCCTTGGGCTTGGCTGAAGGCAGGAGAGAGAGGCTGATTTAACCAGAACCCATGAAACTAGGCACTAAAGCTTCTGATCATCCTGCTGTGGCTACATTCAGGGCAATGCTGCGATGCTGCATGCTTGCACGGGCAAACAAAGGTCTGGAAAGGGTTAAAATGATGTTTGGGTCTCGTGTCATCTCAGGAGAGAATCCAGACTGAGGGGGCCATATGCATTCAAAGTGTTTGGAGTGGGCCAAGCCAGGCTGTTCCAGGCCATTCTCACCCGAACCCGCACAGCTGGCAGCTTTTGCCCCAGCGGGGCTTCACCAGGGATTCATGCCCCCCAGGGCCTGTAATATCAAAGTTCCCCCCTCTTAATAGTCATGATTCAAGGCCATTCTCCATCCACCCTGCTGTCCCATGCCCATTCCCCACGCTCCATGTTCAGGTCATCCAGGATCAGTGCGGGTGGGGAGGGGGGTCAGTTTTATTTCTGTCATGAGGAGTCTGCCCAGGAGTTATCGCTGCAGAGAAAAATGCTGGAGCAGCTTCCTACTGACATCCTTGCTGGCCTGTAGTGTCAGGTCTGCAGAGCAATGGGAACAGGCTCGCTGCACGCTGGGTCAGTGGCACAGATTGATGCCCGGCTTTGTGTTCCTTACTGGGAAAATGCAGAGTCAATAGGTGTGTGTCTGCCTGAATATTCCCTGGATATGAAATGCTGTTGGATCCCTCTCTAGTCCCAGGGTATCACTTGCCAGAGGCCTGAGTAAAGTAACCACACTCACCATAGCCCTTTGGTATCAGCAAGTCACTTGGTCTGTTCCCTCCATGTTTCCCTGATTTATTTGTGCCAGAGCTCACCAGCGCTGAGCCCCGGCACCACTAGACTTGGCAGTTCAGAGCCCTGGCACCTATGGGCTTGCTGCATCAGTTGCGCCCCATCACCTCTTTCATAACAAATTAAGCACTGCTGATTATGGTCTGACCTGACCTGGTCATGGATGAGATCCTGATCCAGGATGCATCATCCATGTCTGAGCAGATGATGTAGGAAACCCAATGCCAGTCCTAGCTACCAGTAGTCCCTAGTTCAGATCCTCAATCCCAGCAGGGTAAGGAAGGTGGCAGGGCCATATTATCCCCATCTGACATGTAATGTAAACTAGGCCTCATTCGTACAGTGAAGGCATATGAATGCGCGCACCTGGTCTGTGAGTCCAGGGATTGAATAAACATGGAAATGCCAGTAAAAACAGGACACGAGGTTGGGCAATCCCCAAAGGACCAAGTAGAGCTTCTGCCAGACTTGGGGAGGGAGCCCCAAAGATTCACTGTCCTGGGAAACTTCACCCCCAGTGAAGACTATACACTCGGCCTGCCAGCTCAGGCCTCAGCCATCAAGGTAGCCATGGACTTCTCCCAGCTTGACACTGGCCACATTTAAGGTCTGCACAATCACTAGGCCTCATTTTTGTCCTGGGTTTAGACCTCAGCAGTGTCGGAATCACATAGTTCTCCTAGACAGGCCAACGCCTTCCCGCCACAAAGATCAAAGGGATCCAACCATGGGTACACCAACCAATTTAGTCAAACTAATAGAGGCCAAAGGGTAAGCTCCTGATGTCAGAGAACTTCCAGGAGGCTCTGGATGGCAAACAGCCTATCTGCAGTACTGCAGGGTGAACAAGCCTTGGAAGGACTGAGGAATGCCAGTCCACCCCTTGCAAACAGACCTCTTGCACTTCATAGTTGGGGAAGGCTGGTACAGGCCACCTGATGGCCAGGGTAGCTTCAATCATCTCCCTCTCCTTCAAAGAGAATGAGCTACCAGCCACCCTATGGAATACCAGATCGGGCCTACACCGGCTGCCAATTCTGGCCAATTTTCAGTCAAGCTTCAAGTACTCTTCTGATCTCCCTGATCCCTCTGATGGTGGGCTAGTATATGGACAGACAGATAGAGAGAGAGCTCCCCACGGGGCAAGACTCAACATGAAGACATTCCCTGTCCCAAAGAGCTTTCAATCAAAATGACAGAAATGGAGGAGACAGGATGCCCTGGGAAGCCCAGAGGAAGGTGTAACTTTGAGTGATATTTTTGTATATGTGTGTGTAATAGTGTCTGAGTGAATGTGAGGTCACTTCTTGTGGGTGCCATGGAAGAAGTGAGGCCGAGGCCAAATCTACACCCCAGACTTCTGCCAGCAGAGCCAGCTCAGTCAGGGGTGAGAGGGGATACGATCTTGGACTGACAAAGCTGTGCTGAAAAGCCCCTAGTGAAGACACTGCTTTACCAGCAGAACTGCACGTTGACCGGGCTGGCTTGTTTCACATCGGATGTGTAGGGAAAGCAAAGGCCAGCTTTACTGATAGAAGCTGCGACCAGACTAGCAGGGCTTTGTCAGTACAGTACTGATACAGCTACACCAGAACCACACTCCTAATGTAAACCTGGCCTGGGATTTTCAGAGCTGCTTAAGGGAGTGAGGCACATGAATGGGATTTGGGTAGCCAACTCCCGTAGGCGCTTTTGAGACTCCCAGCCTGAGTCTAACCGACACTTGACTGTTGGGAGGCTGGGGGCATGGCAAGCCAGATGGGGAAGGTGCCCCATGCACAATGCTCAGTGTGGGGAAGGGCTTTGAGCTGGGAAGGGGTGAGGGTGTGTGTGTGGAGCTGACATTGTTGGCAAAGGGGAAGGGCGGCAACCAGGGAGTGAGCGATGAGATCAGAGTCATGGGCCAAGAGAGAATAAGGAGTGAAAACAAGATGGGGATTCAGAGGGGGTGATGCAGTCTGATCGAGAGGCAGGGGAGATCATCTGAGCTGTTGCATGGCTGGAGGACCTGCTAATACCATGGGTGCAGAAAGCTGGCAATTTAATGCAAATAATGCAATGCCCTAATTTGCATATGCAGTGAACACAGAAATTTCCCCACTGTCTCCCTTGTGCCTCCTCCCAAATTCATAAACTCATCTTGTCAAACCCATCGTTTCCCTCTGGAGTTACCTGCACGGCCCCATCTCTGCTTCTCAATGTGTCTCCCCCAACCCCTTCCTCTCTCGGGCTCCCCTGCATGAATTTCCCCTTTCCCTTGCTCTGGCTCTCTCCTGACCCCCCTCATCCACCCCTTTGAGTTCCTCCTGCTCCCCGTACCCACAGATAGATCCACGACTTGTCACTCTAGCCACATCTCTATTGGGGGGGCGAGGAGGGCGGAGGTCCTAGACAGGGCCGGCTCCAGGCACCAGCCAACCAAGCACGTGCTTGGGGCGGCACCTTGTAAGGAGGGGCCAATCTTGGGGTGGTGGGCCAGTGCTCGGGTTTTTTGTTTGTTTGTTTGTTTTGGTTCAGCGGGGCGGCACTTGGGGGGGGCGGTTTGTTACGGCGGGGCGTTTTTTTTGTTTTTGTTTTGCTTGGGGCGGCAAAAAATTAGAGCTGGCCCTGGTCCTAGAGAGCTGTAACCATGGCGACCCTACCTAGAGACATGGCCTGGTCCCAGTGAGGACTAGGCCTCGGCCTCCCTCAGCTCTGCCGCTCTCCCCATCGGGACCCTAGCAGGAGGCGCCCAAGCTGGTGGGATTCCAGGCCAGTGGCATTGGAACAATGTTTATAGTGGGGGTACTGAGAGCCATTGAACCAACTGTCAAGCCTGTATATGACGGAAACCACTTCAAGTCAGGGGGTGGGGCAGCATCCCCAAGCACCCCTAGTTCCAGCACACCTGATCCCAGCCAGACTGGCGGCCTGGGCCATGCTGGTAGCAGGACAGCAGAGCGATTCTGACATGGGCCAGTCTGCTCCCCCAATACCCAAGTAAACAGGGTAGCACCCCTGAGTCAGTGGGGTTACCCCAGTGTGACAAAGGAGAGGGTCTGTCCCCTGGTGCACCCCAGAGCTCCCCCTGGAGCCCACAGGAGTGTGGGACTAGACCACAGGCTGCACCAGTCGCTGCAGCTCACTGGCATTGGGGAAGGCCTGTCCAAGCGAAAGCGAGGGGTTGGCTACAGCAATAGCCTCCCATCCCCACCTCTGGGCAAGTGTAGGGTACAGAACTAGCCTCCTGCCCTCTCTACTCCCCCGGCAAGGGTAGGGTACAGCAAATTTGGCAATAGCCTCCCACCCCCATCCCCCGGGAGAAGGTCAGGAACAGCAATAGCCTCCTGCCCCCAGGCGAGGGTAGGGTATGGAAATAGCCTCCCGTCACCCGCCGCCCCTCTGGCGAGGGTAGGTTACGGCAGTCATCAGCATTACCTGAACACACCACACTGGCATCTTCTCCATGGTTACAGTTGTGGTCTCCCCAAGGCTTTAAGGTGCACTCTGTGAGGGCAGATTCTCCTCCTCTGCAATTAACATCGTCCAGTAAGATGGGGCCAGATCCTTGTCCAAAGTGAGCTGTGCCTGGTGCCGATACCGCGTCCCCACAGCCCAGCTGCCGACACACTACTGATGCATCATTTAAGTCCCAGCTGTCATCGCACACAGTGCCCCAGACATTGTTGTACAGAATTTCCACCCGCCCAGCACAGTGGGTGGAGCCATTCACCAGCCGGATTTGACCTGGGAAAATGCAAACCAACAGTTAAAGAGACAGCATCTGGGGAATCGTGCAGGGAAACGGGAGCTGCCTCTTGGGAGCTACCTACCAGCTTCAGATGCCTTTGGAGCTGTCTTTGTGATATTAGTGATGGATCTCTTGAAGATGTGCAGGTTGTGTGTGTCCATTCTGAGAACGGAGGCTGACAGGGTCACCAGACAGGTGAGGAGCAGGAGACAAGGGCGTGGGTCTGCTGAGAATGTGAAGAGACAGAGTGAAGCTCCCTTCAGGGAATGGAGAATCACAATTCGCTCAGCAACACAGCCAGTAATAGAGACCCACAATCCTACTAGGTAGCAATAAACCGGCTCTTAGGTGAACATGAGGGCTCTCCGACAAACATTAGCACACTCTGGGCAGTATCAGAACCTAGCCATATCCCTGGTGGCCCACATTTCTGTGCTAACTTCTTTTCATGGTTAAAACTGCAGCAAGATTCTGTTTCCAGTCCTTTTCCCAACCCCTCTATAACTTTGATCAGCAAATTCCATTTTAACGGACCAGCACTGGAACTGTCATGTTTTCACTGCTCAAGCTTTTTCCTAATCAAAATGCACCTTGATTTGAAATTGTGACTTGTGTTTGATGTTTCTGTCTGTTTGGCTCAGTAAGAACTCGTTAGTATCACTTCTCAGACTTTCCACTTCATTAACTCTTGAGCATTCATGTAAAGAATAGAGGTTGTAATTAACCCAATTGACTAATGATTATTGTATCTAATTGTAACAATCTTTCACCAGATAAAATGCTTGGGTACAGCTGGTATTAGGGTTGGGCCATAGGGATTTAAGTCTTGAATACTGAAACACAAGACTAAGGCCCACATTTCAGATGCTCACATTGAGATGAATCCCCAACTCGGCGGGTACTTTTGAAACATCTGGCCTACATGGTTAGTATTGGTGTGGGCCTGAACTCAACGCAACCCCCCTGGGACCACCAGGCTTGCCCATCCTTTTCAATGCTGCACATATGGAAATAAAGTGGTGTTTACACACGTGCCGAGCGCAATTGCTTCCTCTCATGGGAGTGAATGATTGGGAATTTGGCTTGCCCTCAATTTGCGTAAGTGTAAATGAGGACCCATGCAGCAAGGCAGTGAGAATTGGGCCTGTCACATTTTAAGGGTAACTACATCTGTATCCCACCCTCTGTGGTCCACTCCTGGAGTCCCCTGCATACCACTTCGGTGGAGGGACACCCTGCTGCGGTGGGTACATGGCTCTAAGTTGGGTGGACACCCAAGGGAGGAAGAAATGAGGATACGGTAAGCCGCCTGGGTTGGTGGCCTTCCTGGAAAGGGGATGTTAAAGCTTGGCTAGCTGCATGTCTGGAGTGTGCCCGACACCAGCCAGCCCCAGCTCATGGAGTGACCCTTGACTGGTCCCTGGGAAAGAATACAGATGGACCATGTGGGCCCCCTACCCTGTACTAAAGCTGGGTATCGGTTCATGCTGGTAATTGTGGAGGCATTCAGTAAGTGGGTGGAAGCCTTCCCTACTCCAAACTGCCAAAACCACTGCTTCACTGCTTGTTACCCAGGTCTTTGTTCGCTGGGGGTTTCCCCAAATCATGGATTCAGATCGAGGGCCAGCATTTCACAGTTCTCTATTGCAGCATCTCAGTGAACTGCTGGGGGGTGGAGTGGCAACTCCACATCCCCTACCACCCTCAAGCCGCTGGGCAAGTGGAGTGCATGAATCGCACCATCAAGGAGGAGCGTTGGAAGGGTGCCAGTCTGGGAGGCACCAATTGGGCCAAGCTCTTGCCTTTCATTTTAATGCGTATCTGAGCCCGGCCTGCCAGGGCCACAGGCTTCAGTCCTCACGAACTGCTAACGGGCAGAGCAATGCCTTGGGGGGAAATCCTGCTCACACCCCCACCGATGGAACAGGTCGTGCAGACAAACATGGAGGACTGTATCCTCCAACTTCAGGAGCAAATCCGAATACTACACAGGGAGGCTGCCCAATCAGAGGGCAAGGCTAAGGCCAAAACCAAAACCAGGCTAAGGCCAAAGCCTGGTACCATCCCCCATACAATCCCCTGGATCAGATACAAACAGGGATGCTGGTAATGTATCGTGCTCACGGCCCCCATCCCTTTCCAGTACCTTGGTGGGAGGGTCCTTATCTGGTAGCTGACATGATTCATCCATCTCTGGTGTGCTCATCCCATGAGGATCAGCACTGGTGGGCTCATGTCTCTCAGGTGAAGCGCCATAATGCCTTAACCAAATGCCAAAAGGAATGAAGTGATTCTGTTTTTTCAGGACTGTGGCCACTCCTGTGGATACTTCTCACTGCTGCATGGGTCGGATTTAATCAGCCTCGTTATCCAGCCCCTAATCTGGAGAACATTGGAATACAACAGGAATCGAAGTACTACACTCCAGAACAAGTCCAACAGTGGCCCTGGTATCAAAGGCGAACAATTCTTGGTGGCAGGGAGGAAATTGTGCTTTAACAAATTGTGGTACTGCATACTATTGGGGGTTTATTCCGTATGCTCGCCAATGTAAATTTGGAGAGGTGGGATCAGGGTGTACAGCCTTACCCGATGCACCCGAAGTGGTCAGTAATTTTAAACCTACACCCGTTGTGCTACCACACACCAGGGCACATAGGGCATCCACGGATACCCCATGTCAATCCACTCTCCCTTCTCCTAGCCCACCATCTACTGACTCTGATAATAATATATGGAGATATACCTATCTCATAGAACTGGAAGGGACCTTGAAAGGTCATCTAGTCCAACCCCCTGCTCAAAGCAGGACCAATCCCCAACTATGTACATCACTCTGTTCCCCACTGACTGGTATCTCAGTACTACATTTGCTAACTGTTCTCAGTTTACCAAAGTAGGTGAAATAATGCTGCTATGGGCAATTTAAAACTCATTAGAAATGGTTGGATGGGAATTAAAAAAGAACATCCAAAAATGGCGAGCCCTCAGAAACTACCTCTGGGAAGGCTGGAACTCGCTGCAGGAAGCTGATGTAGCGGCTCGAATCCAACGCTTGGAACATGCCCTGGGGCTAGGAGACATGGGGGATTATTACAGGGATCTGCGCTTAGCTTAACAGATCGTTTGTTGGGAAATGTTATTCTAACCCTTGAGAATATTACAGAATCCCTTATGAGTGAACTGGTGAACAGTGTAAAGACTATTTTGTGGGGAGAAGCATGTAACCAGGTTCAACAAACCCTCACCAATCATCTTGTAAACCTCTTGCAGGATGCCCGCCGGGGTTTATGGCCATCTGGGTTGGAAGGGACTGATGTAGCAAATCAATTAAAGATGTATTGGTCCTTTAGAGTCACCTGGCAGACAATTTTGGGGGGACTGTACACTGAGCCTGTGTACCCTTACTGTCAGGGGAGTGGCTGAAGGAAAATGGACCTCAGCCATCCTTTTACAAGTGGGGTTCGGGCGTGGGTGCAAATGAAAAAGGTCCCAATAACAAATAACAACACATGGTTTCTAATGGGATCCAAGGTATACTACCCACACATGGGTCTTGCGTGGGTGGGACAGGGAAATACCTGGAAGAGATGGCCACAAGAATCACCACCCGTATTCAGAACCCATACCCCCTCAGCATTGGGTAGAACAGGGAAATAAAATTTGCTGGGCAGGATCGGTTGTGCTTAATGGCCAGGTTTTGGAGGGTGGAAAGTGTGTGGAGCGGGTGGGATTTGGACCAGGAAACTTTTCCTTGCAGCTGGGAAACTCCACTTATCAGATTCATATACCAGCTATGCATCGGCTTAATGTAACAGGACACCCAACAATACCTACTAATTGGACTATGGTGGTACCGGAGCCCACCTGGATGAACTGGGACCATGTGATACAGTTACTCTGGCAACTCCAGGTCAAGCATCGCTGAATGCAGATTTGGGAAGCCAAGGCCCTTCGAGGAATAAATGCATTCCAACTGTCTACTGAACTGACTGCTGATTCTACTTGGACTGATGTTGCCTGTGCCCTTCGGACAGGCCTAATGGACACTCATTCACTTCTTGGTCGTATTACTCATGTTGTAGGAATGTTATTCCTATTAATTTTAGTATTGATCATATTCATGGGGTTTTTTCCTGCAACTTCAATAAGGATTCTTTAAAATACAGCCAGCTCTCCTGGACTCCTTTCCCCCTCGTGTTATTCTCCCAGGGGATCCTGCCCATCAGTTCCTTCAGGGAGTCAAAGTTTGCTTTTCTGAAGTCCAGGGTCCGTATTCTGCTGCTCTCCTTTCTTCCTTGTGTCAGGATCCTGAACTCGACCATCTCATGGTCACTGCCTCCCAGGTTCCCATCCACTTTTGCTTCCCCTACTAATTTTTCCTGGTTTGTGAGTAGCAGTCTGGAAGAGCTCTGCCCCTATTTGGTTCCTCCAGCACTTGCACCAGGAAATTGTCCCCTACACTTTCCAAAAGCTTCCTGGATTGTCTGTGTACCGCTGTATTGCTCTCCCAGCAGATATCAGGGTGATTAAAGTCTCCCATGAGAACCAGGGCCTGTTATCTAGTAACTTCTGCTAGTTGCCAGAAGAAAGCCTCGTCCACCTCATCCCCCTGGTCTGGTGGTCTATAGCAGACTCCCACCATGACATCACCCTTGTTGCTCACACTTCTCAACTTTATCCAGAGACTCTCAGGTTTTTCTGCAGTTTCATACTCTGAGCCGTCATATTCCTCTCTTACATACAATGCAACTCCCCCACCTTTTCTGCCCTGTCTGTCCTTCCTGAACAGTTTATATCCATCCATGACAGTACTCCAGTCATGTGAGTTATCCCACCAAGTCTCTGTTATTCCAATCACATCATAGTTCCTTGACTGTGCCAGGACTTCCAGTTCTCCCTGCTTGTTTCCCAGGCTTCTTGCATTTGTGTATAGGCACTTAAGATAACTAGCTGATTGTCCTGCTTTCTCAGTCTGAGACAGGAGTCCTCCCCTCTTGCACTCTCCTGCTCGTGCTTCCTCCTGGTATCCCATTTCCCCACTTACCTCAGGGCTTGTGTGGTATCTAATGCAAAGTCGGTCATGTTGGGTGTCTTCGGAAGCTCATGATGCACTGAGCATTGTTGTTATAGTGATGTTATAGTAATGTTATAGGTTGTAATTTCATGTATGTAGTTATGAGGCTGAAAATGTGTCCTTGTGACTTAAAACAGGCCCAGGCAAAA